GGGGGGGGGGGCTCGTCTATCACACGCGAGGCAAACAAAATGGACCACGCTACCGCAATTATTGCCGGAAACCTCGTTCGTATCGTGGATGGTGTTGTGAAATTCTGGTAGCCATACGGCAGACGGGACCTCGGTAGGAGGGTTTGGATCCCCCGATGTTCCACACGGTACGAAATTATAGAGTCTAACATACGGCGTGGTCGTACGTACATGCCGCTGTTAGTCAATCTACCTAGGATACCGACATTGTCGCTGTAACACCCCAAAGCCTGTGTTTTACACTGACAGTGTAGGACTACGGTTCCACCGTGTACCGTTTTGTCTGTACAGCGGCCGCGTACATGCTTTGTTGCCCGTATCAAATTTGACACATTGAAAGTACGGCAATGCCGTTTTCTCTTTTGACGGATGTTGCTGGGAAATAATAAGCCGTGCATTGCCGTAACGCTACTGTCAATTATTTCTCTTGCAGTGCAGATGCCAGCATTCGAACTTGTGTTCTTAGCCCTCATAATCCAGAGGGGCGTACACAGCAAATCTATCCACTCTATCGCGGTAAGTTCACACAGAAACGTCGATTCGAATTTTGGAGTACAACGTTGAAAGCCACACCATCTTAGGGTTTGTCTAGAAAGTACGTCCGCTTTTATAAGACTCACCTCGGCACTTTACGGGTGGCCAGCGCCTGCGACTTGGGGTAGGCCATCCCGCTGTACATAGGTGCACTCCAGGCAAGAAATTGCCTACCTGTCAGGCGATATGAGAGCTTGCTGGGGCTGTACTCGGCATGTTTGTAATGGCGAATGACGGACGTACTTTCTGGATGACGCCTACCATAACATATTTTCCTTGCTGCACAGTAAATCACTATGATGAATCACATCTCTGTTGCGAATAGGGCCCGTACATAATCTACTTCGATCGCTTATACGCCTGTGAACCAATAGATCCCACGCTTCCGTGGAGACACCATTTTCGTCTTACTCGCTACAACCCATATAAACCATCAGAAGCACAACTACTGACTGGTAACCTGACGGGTGAGCTACCTATTGATGACAGTTGCTGGGTAAGGAATTACTCCTCAAAATAATCCTCTATACCTAAATTGTAAAACCCAACCGACGCTGCTAAAACGCGATATTGGGTAACGTCGGTAACGATGAAACTATTACATGTACCTTTCTTTTAAAACAGGGGAAAATGAATGTAGCTCTTTGGGCAAATAATCAATGGAAGGATAACGCTTTTGTCGTTGGTTTTAAAGACACAGTATGCTCAAGATATAAAGAAAATGCACCGTCGCTTTGGGAGCTATTTTTCAAGGGTACAGAAGAAAAGGGCAAAGTCGGTTGCTTAATCAAACCTGGATTTTACGAATATAAGAACGTCCCAGCAAGAGTGGTTTTCCCAAATGTTCCAGTAGGACCATATGGACGATATAAGATGAGTGTGTGGGTTGGCAAGGCTGATAAAATGTACTACTGCTTTGTAGGAGAATTCAGGTTAGTTCCTAAACTTGACTAAAACTACAATGCTTCATTACGGTAATTGTATCGCTGTTTCACAGAATCTGAACATCTCTTGCGTAGGGTCCATGAATAATTTGAAAAAATAAATGATATCTTTGCGTTATGAATAACAATTTAGTTATTTTAGGCACCAATAGCGGCCTCACACTCAAGCCTAAACTAATAAAGGCTTACGGTGCATTTTCACAATAATTTACAGTGAATATCACTGTAAGTTCCCTGGTAGCGTGCTGATACGTCCGCTGTACGTTCATGATTACGAACTACACCGTACTGAGCCTTCGAATAACCAAGAACGTTCTCCGAGCATGTGCATGCTACAGGGGTTACGGTAACGCACCCTAAGTTACCGAAGCTTACAGTTAAAATTCACCGTCAGCCACAGCTTGCGGTCAAAGTTAAACTTTCACTCACTTTTTTAAAGTGATGCTAAGTGAGCTTGGGCGATTAAATAAAATAAAATAAAACTAATGAGGGGAAGGGGGGATACCAAAGCAGCAGGAAGAGACAATGATTACTATGTATAGAGCGGTGTGCGGGGCTACAAGGTACACGCGCCCCCAGGCACTAACGCGGACTTACGCGCAGAGCCTGCTTAGAGTTTAGGTTTCAGGTTTACTCTGCTTGGGATATTGTGGCTCTGCGATCCGCAGTGAGAAACAGGTGGGATGGAAGAGGAAACGGTGGAGGGGGGGCGATGTAGAGCGAGGGAGACGGAAGAACAAGGAAGGGTTATGAGGTGAGGGGGAAGAGAGTATCAAGGATCAGCACCCGAAGTAGGCTAGGCCGAGTGATGCGGGAGGTGGGTGGGGTGGGAGGAGGCGAAGGATTAACTCCGCGCCCAATATAATTCGCACGCGATGCAATATTGAGCAGCATACAAAAACACAAGCCAGTAACCCAAAATGCCACGTTGTCCAGCTTCACCGCGGTGGGAGAGTGGCTGGCACGGCTGGTCCAGCGGTGTGAGCTGGGGGCCGTGCCATGGCGGGCAGCGTTATACGGGGTAAAAAAGAACAATATATTTACGAGGTAAAAAATGTATGTGTACATGTGAGTGAAAACGGTTAAAAATGTCACGCAAACCAGTCGCGGGCAAAAAAGTACATAGTCAAAGTGTTTGTTTTAGATGTAGCCCGAAGTTAACAAACGATGTGAGAAGAAATGTGGCCGAAACGAGTGCGGGAATGCAATGCACACACACAAATAATGGCGTGGAGGGAAATAAACGACAACCCGGCTATATGAAACGTTTTGTCCCAACGAGCCGAGCCGAGCCGAGCCGAGCCGAGTCGAGCCGAGCCGAGACGGCTATTCGGCTCCAAGAGAGAAGAAGCGGACCGAACTAACAAGCAGAGCGCCGCAATTAGAGGAATCAAATTAGAGCGGAGCAGGGCGGAATGGACCGAGGGTATGAGTGGAGAGCGAGCGAGCGAGCGAGCGAGCGAGTGAGAGAGAGTGATTGAGTGAGTAAGAGTGAGTGAGTGAGACTGAAAGGAGTAGGGGAAATGGGGGGGCACGGCCAGGGCCAGTGGCGGCGCGCTGTGCAAATCAAACGAATCGGTTTCGTCCAGAGGCCAGGAAGCAGGCAGCCGCACACGCGAGAGGGGGGGGGGGGGGGGGGGGGCAGCTGCACGTTTGTCAACGACGCGCGCGCTGACCACCACCGCCGCAGCGCACGACGGGCGCTGATGACAGGGGTGGCGGGGAGGGGGGGGTTACATGACGTCCAATATATATCGGGTTTATTGGTAACAAGTCGACCTGGCCGTGAGGTGGGGAGAGAGGCGGGAGGGCGGCAATGGACCATGATATGTGGAAGATGGGAGGCCGGGCCGGGGAGAGGCATTCCATTCCAGCGTGTTGGTCGAGTGGCGGGGCGCGGCAGGGCGCGGCGGGGGTGTAGACACAGCCGCTGCCTTATTGGCCCGGGTAGGTCGGCCTTGTCCTTGTCCTGGGCCAGAGGCCATTCTCGATGTTGGAGTAGGACGCCTCGTCTCGTCGAGCGCGCTCGACTTGCTTGCTGCTATGCACCCTAAAAAATCTCACACAAAAAAAAGCGAAGCGACACTCACAAAGTATTGGAGGGCCGCTCTTAACACCCTCTTTAGGAGGTATAAAGTCCAACTTTTTTTTAACAGTGTAGTAACGTACACCACCACCAACAACAACGACGACAATAATAATGCAGCAATAATAACGACAGCCACACTTCGTTTGCGAGATTCCCGAAGGAAAGGAATCCACGCGGGGCTAGGCGCAGGGACCCCGTAAGAGTATCAGGGCTCGCGAACGCGCAAAAGTTGTTCTGCCTCGCTATATAGCATTGTGTTCCGTTTGCTTTATTAACAACGTTCCCGGCATTCCTGTTTGGAGCGGCGGCATGATCACTCATTTTATATTTCATCCACATTGCGCGCCGAGCCGGAGTGGGGCGCACGCCGCCACGCCACGCCACGACCGTGCACGACTTAGCAAAGTTGGCCCCGAATAAGGGACGCAAGGGCAGGCCAGGAGGAAAAACAACACAAAAACAAACAAAAAAAACAACACGCGGGACGGTTCGAAAAGCGGAGCCACTGATGACACAAAAGCGGGGGGTCCCTTTCAAAGGGAAGGCGAGATATCGTCACAAACAGAGTCGCGCGCCCAAACGACGGAATTGAATCAGTGCGGGCGACCCTGGAACTCGGTCATAATGTTTCTGGAGCGTCCGCCACGGCCAGGAGCTCCGTCTCCGACTGGGTCAGCAGGTCACAAAAAATATGAGCTTGCGTGTGAACCTCGGCGGCAGCTTCAGTTTTTGTTCCAGGCTAGCTGAAGCAGCCAGGCCAGGACAGGACAACAAACAAGTAGTTTCGCAGAGCCGTAATTTCGTCCCAAGATCCCAAGATTACGAAAACTCTTCGCTCAACTAGCGTCATTTTATTTTTCACGCAGCGGCCATGGAGTGCTATGTATAGGAAGGTGCGAGGGCGGCTATGAAGAGAGGCTCCTAGATGGTGTGTGGGTGTGCGTCCCCGCCTACGCGACGTCGCGACGCTCCGGCGCGGGGGCGTCGAACCGCAAGCAGGGCCTTGCGCAACGTTATTCTAACCACATCAACCCGCCCTCTCCTCTACGCCATTGAAGCGGCCGTCGGCGGGGACCGGCGGTACACTGCAATAAACCGGGGTCAACGGCACCGCCGCCGGGCCGGGGCGGGCGGCCGACGCTTTTCAACTTGTGCAAACCCGCCCCGCCACTTTGGTCGTCCGCCCACGCCCCGGCCCCTGACGCGAGATGCGAGCGGCCCTGAGACTGTCGCTAAAAGTTTTAAAATATGCAGGTTAGCTCTATGGTGCCTCAGCCGCACCAAGCCAGCGCTCCCCGCCGCGACACCTCGTCGATGTCACCTCCACCGGAGAGAGAGAGAGAGAAAAAAAATAAAAAGGGAAAGTGTGCGGGGAAGATGAGGCAAGGGAGAGGCGAGGCCACGAGGGGTGGGAGAGGGGGAGGGGGCAGAGGTCATGGAGATCATTTCTGCGGGATCAAAATTGAGAAATTCTGAGAGGATGCACTTAATGCGAGAAAATTGCAATTTGAAGTGAGGGTTTGCATTTTTTAAATGCCTATTTTTACAACTGCAAAATTTGTTTGTTGAGAAAAAATTAGGAGGAAAATTCAACCGTTTCGTTTTTCTGAATAAAAAATTATAAAGGTTTGTTTTCAGGCACAGAAAATAAATATGATGAGAGGCGGGGGCCTATTGGGACCGCGACGGTCGCAAAGCCACATTCACAAAACGGCCGCGCGCTTTAGAATGGAATGAGAAGGTCGGGAAGGGAGAGTGGGGAGGG